TGGACAAATCCAAACAAATTACTATAAAGTCAATAAGTGTAAACAAACTCAATGAGCAGATAGTTATATCACAGGCTCCATAGGCCTACTTCATGGAATGACCTACAACTTTTTAAAATTTATTTTAGATTGATTTTTATCTTTGGCTAAATATAATAAAGAAATAATCTTCATTTTTAGATCAATCCAAATTTCAATATTTACCATTTCCAAGTTATTAAGAATGCAATTACTCTACTGTCCAATGCAGGAACAGTTATTAATAAAACTAGAACTAAATGCCTACTAACATTCTTTATGCAATTATCCATCATTTCTCATGTCTTCAGTAAATATTGGCAAAGTTAAATCTCATTATTTAAAAACAAATTTAACTACATAAAATTTTAAATCTGACATGAGTCTTAAGGTGTTATAATCAACCATACTTCTATAACGGACAACTTTGGATTTTATCCAGGCACTTTTCTGTATATATTTTTCTACCAATGTGCATTAAACATTAAATGCAGAACACAGTCATCCTAGTGGTAGCAACTAGTGTCTGTAGTAGACTGCATATCTGTGCTTCTATTCATTCACATGATGTATAATGTGTTGAGAATCAACATGTGGTGATTATTTTTAGCAAGGGTAACTATGTAACCTTCTGATGTTATTTTTAGACCACAGCAACGGCTAACTTTAACATATGGACATTCAAATTCTGATAAAATTGACCCTTCACGCGAAAACACAACTACATGAAATCTATTTCCATGACTGTCACCAACAAGCACATCTCCCGCATCACTGATATCAATACCATTTGGAAAATTAGTAATATTTTCACATCCAATACGTCTCACAAACTGCCCATCTTCACTAAACACAATAACACAATGACCTTTAAAATCACAGATGTAGTATTCTTTACCACTGATTGCAATATCAGATGGTTCTCTCATGTACTCACTGCAATCAAACCAACGAACTAATTCTCCACTTTCCGCAATCACAAATACTGTTGGAGAAACACTGTCAACAGCCACAATATTACCTTCGCCAGTAATTGCTAATCCAGCTACTATATCAATATAACGAATTGCTATCTTCTTTATAAAATGCCCAGTTTTAGTAAATAGCTGCATACGGGACCTTTCACTTCCTCGATCACAAATCACAAATTTTCCTGAACTGCGAATAACAGCCACCTTAGAAAAAAAAAAAAAATTATATAACTAAAATTATATATATATCAACTTAAGCATTATCTTCTGTAACTAGTAATCTGTGTATGAACAATGACATAGCAAGTATACAAAATTGCAAATTCTAATTAACAAAAATTTACTATTTTTTGTATTGTAATAAAACAATAATATAATTAATAATTAAAAACAAACTTAAATATAAAAATATATTTTAAAATATACTTTTTTATTAAAACTTTATATATTCATTTATTGCTTTCCAATTGTAGATCTGAATGTTTCAAAAATATTACTTGTTTAAAATCAACATTTTTCTTTTTGATACTGAATGATATTGTTTCATCTTTTAACCCAACTGACAGCTAATGACTATTACCAATAAACTAATAAAAACTATGTGAATAGTTGATTATGTTTTTATTAATAATTAAGTTAGAATACAGAACCATGAATAAATTTAACTTAAAATTGTGATTAAATCTACTTTTAATCAACATAGCAAAGAAAAAAAGTTAATAATATATAAAATAGAAATATACATCTCCAATTCAAAAAATACACAGGAAGACTAAAACATCTTGATTTTCATCATGATGAATCACCAGGAACAAATCTTCCATTGCAAAGACTACCTTTTATTAGAGGCTACACCCCTGCAAATTTTGTCTTTTTTATACATTTTTTAATGTGTTAATTCATCAGCCATTTGTTTAAAAGAAATTACTGTATATTTCTGTCCTATAAGACGATCCCAAACTATCAATGGCCTATGAATTTAGTTTAGATCAGCAATCATCATCTAGATAATAATACTGTAAGGTGTATACGGAATTACAGCTCTCCCTTAATAGTCCGATAGGTATGGGACCAAAGGGGTGTTGGATTACCAAAAGTGTCTGGATTACCAAAAATAATTATATATTTAGCATTCTTTTGCTAACAGTAGCTTACAATATTCCCTACTCCAACTGTTCGAACAGAACTGCTCACAGAAAACACATGAAATGTGTGTCATCGTGTAAGAATTGGATGGGGAGATTCACGTCGCAACATGCTTCTGTGCAAGCAGACACTTAACGGGGATGGGTACCTTGACGGGAGGTGTGTCGGACTGCTGAGCATGTCGGATTAAAAAACGTCGGACTATCAAGGGAGAGCTGTATGTCCTATTCATAATTTTTTTAATGAACAAATTTTATTTTCTTGCATCTGGCAGCATTGCCTTGTGATTGTTGCAAACATTCACACTGATTCGGGCATTTGGGTAATGACCTCAACTATTCACAAATACATTATATGGGCTATTCTATTTTGTGGACATACCTTACTCTCTTCTACTAGTAAATAATTACAGTTTGTCCATTTTTTTATAATGGTTTTAATTTATATAAATTTCAATCTAATTTTTTTTTGTATTATCCTATAAGATGATTTAACTATCGCCTTATCTGCAGAAATATACAGTACACATTATTTTAAAATTGTTTGGCCTGTCACCAGTGAACTTTTAAGAGTGTTTTGCATGTTTTGCAGGAGACCTAGCCTCTAATAAAAGGTTGTCTCTGCAATGGAAAACTGTTGTTCCTGGTGATTCAACATAACAAAAATCAAGACATTTTAGTCTTCTCTACATATTTTATAATGTGTTAATTCATCAGCCATTTTTTGAAAGAGATTAAAATTCTTATTTATTTGACAGAAAAAAAATGTAAACAAATGTAATTATTCTCTACTTCTACATACTTTAATCATGTTTAAACAATAAAATAAAACACTTATGTATTAACTATAAACAGAAGTATAGTCTGCTGTATTATAAAGAGAAGGAAAGTTATTTGTATAGTATAGTTTACTTGATTCTAAGAAAATATTTTCCTTTGTATTATAAATTTTGCCTCCTTTTTTCATTTACACAATATTGCCCTTACAATATTGTGTAAATGAAGCCNATAAACAGAAGTATAGTCTGCTGTATTATAAAGAGAAGGAAAGTTATTTGTATAGTATAGTTTACTTGATTCTAAGAAAATATTTTCCTTTGTATTATAAATTTTGCCTCCTTTTTTCATTTACACAATATTGCCCTTACAATATTGTGTAAATGAAGCCCTCTATAGTTGTGGATGAAATTAGGGATGTCTTGATACCAATATTGACACTTTTCCTTGGTTATTCTTACATTTCTCACAGATAGATAAGATCTGACCAAAATTGGATTTTGCAGCCAAATCCAAAACCAAAACTTACACTATTTTTGGTTAAATTAAACTTATAGTAAATATTAATGACCAAAAATTAACAATTTTATTACATCAAATTTCATTTTCATAATGTACAGTACACTCATCGCCATAAAAAAATAGCACACCAAGAAGGAGTTGTCAGAATTGAACAAAATTGTATGTTTAACGGTGATATAAGTAAGTGATTACAAAATGAAAGCAAAAAGATTATTTATTGTAGGAAAACCTACAAATGAAAGGAGGTTTTAGTACCCTATTAGGCCAACTCTAGCATGAATACACAATGTGATACAGATGGGCATAAAGGTATACAGGTGCTATATGGTATTCAGTCCACAGTTGCTGCATACAGTTCTCTAGTTTGGCCAAACTCCTAGGATATCCAACTTGGCATCCCAGGCATGTTCCGACCAATAAATCAGAAGACAGGGCAGGCCAGGGAAGTGTGGCAATTTGGCGGAGAGTCCTGTGACAGCCTTGCTATGTGATCGAGCATTTTCTATTTAAAAAATAACTCTCTTATATTAGTGACATCCCTCAGCCGTACATGTTGCATCTTATAGCCCTACCATAAGATGCAACATGTACGGCTGAGGGATGTCACTAATATAATGCTGGACTGTTCTGGCCGCTTGAATAACTACTAGAAGTGACTGGCTGTTGTGTGTGATGGCACCCCAGACTATCACACCAGCAGAGGAGGCAGTGTGCCACTCCAAAGCATAGACAGGATTGAGGTGTTCACCACAAGGCCTCCATACATGAACACAGCTCATTGTCAGTGCCCAAATTGAACCTGAATTTGTCACTTTAGAGGACCTGGTTCCTTCCCATTGGAGTCAAATCCCATTGAGAATGGCATCACTTCAAATGAAGGTGAGGGTGGATGGCTGTTAATGGCAGAACATCTAACAGTTGCTGCGATACCAAATGTTCCTCACCCAGGCACCTTGAAATGGTGTGGACAGAAATGGATCTGTAAGAATGTCGTCACCTGTGTTTAAATGGCAGACAATGATACAGGCCAGCTATGTGCATGCTTGTTGGAGGACCAGGTAGTGGTCTAGGCTTGGCTAGTAATCTGCTGAGGGTATCCTGAGTCTGGGTACCATGAGTACAAGCTCTCTCTCATACACTGGTCACAACAACACCATCCAGCTTCTCTCAATCTGATGATCCTTCTCCTATCAAACTCAAATTAGTTGTTCATATGGTCTTTGATTGTGATATAAAAGCATCTTTAGTCATACAGCATCCCTCTCCAACAGGTAAACTTCAGACAAGTTGCCTTTGTGCATTTTTTTTATAGGCCAAGAGGATGGATGCAGTTTAATGCCCTTTGCTGGCATTACGCGATGTGGCATCATGCTATAACTCTTAATCATTTCCATATCTGCTTGAAATTTATCTGCATGCCAAGTTTCACAGTGATACAACAACTCCTTCTTGGTGTGCTAATTTTTATGGCAATAAGTGTGTGAGAATCTGGGACCAATACTTTTATTGAAATTTTTATTATTACAAAAATATAAAAATAAATAAATAAATGGTATTTAAAGAAAGAACTTTCTCCAACTTAAACCAAGAAAGTTTCTTTCTCATTATGTGATTCAAATCGTCCCTGTCTACTGAATGGACGAATCCCTTTAAACAGGGCTGAACACAAACTGCCCAGAGCTGGAGAACTGAAATTGATGGACAAGAAAATTCACATCCAGAACAAAGGAGTTTCCTGCCAAAAATGCAGGAAATCATGGCCAGCTTTCACCAAAACTTGCAAAGAATATCTGTAAAGAATGGTCCAAATAAGGTATTATGTTGACTTAATTGTAAAATCTCTCTCCAATTTTTTAGATGCTATGGCAATCAGATAATTAAATAGCTGATGACAGCTGAATAATTAAATCTGCTATTTAAGATTCAAATAGTAAATAATTTTAGAAATAGAATTTAGTCTTAAGAATAGAATTTTAGAAATATATGTAACTTTTGTTTAGATTTTTGTTATTAACCCATCCGATGTTGAAATTCTTCTTCGCTGCCTGTGATGCCATGTTGAATTCTGTCAATGTTAAGCCTAACAAAAATTACACATTTGTGAGGACCTGGAAGGAAGTCAACATAGAGATCCGAATAAAGACTATTCTCTGAGGGAAACGTGGCTGGAGGGAGTCATATTTAGTCATGAAATGGACCTCTCCCACACCTTCCAATCGGTTTCAAATTGTCACCAGGTGATGAGTCGGGACCAATGAAAAGGCAGCTTTAGGGGAAAAACTTATAAAACGGCACATTTCAAGGACAGAAAGTTCTAGGTACATAGTGCTCCCCTCCTGGATTTTGAGCTCCTGTCCTTCAACAATGAAAACTTGTTCGACGTCCCAGAATTCGTTTTTGCTATCCCATCCCATCAAGATTCACCCAGGTAACAACTAGTCATCGAAGGTCATCTCTGCAAGTTGTGCTGTGTGCCCCGGGCTGTTGCTCTCCTCATCACCTTCGCCAGAAGAAACGGAATGATCACCAAAACATTTGGACTTTTTTTTTTAACTGACTTGTTTCCCACTGTTGGATAGGCATTACACCTCATTATATGAATAGTTGTAAGGAAATTTATATATCTATTAAATGGTTTTAAATGGTAAACCTGTCTCTGTGAGTCTTTCCATGCCCACACAACTGTTTTGACTGCTCGATTGTCGTAACATTTTTCACCCAATCAGCTAACCTCACACATATTTTAAAAAAGTAATCGTG